TGTGCCAACATCACTTAAGTAAAGGAGATGGGATTAAATGTAGGCCTTCAAATTCCGTGCTGTGGCCAAATTCATTGTCATACCCGGAAATGGGAGGCGCCTGCCGGCCTCTGGTCACAACATTTTGGGCAAAATATCAATACACACATAACCTTGTTGCATTTTTAACGACAACTTGTTTAATACATATGGTTGATTCATTCACATGGGACTCACGGCCAATAGTGCTGTCGAACTCAGGCCTAAAGGAAGCTTATCCAACATGCACGTTTTCTTGGTGAGGCACACGGCAGCCTTTTTGTGCTTAGGGATGCTGGACCACATGTCAGCCCTGTGCTTGGGGGACCGTTTTAGGCCGTGAAATCACCAGCAAAGACCAACAGACATTAAAAAATGTGGGGACCTGGCACTGAGGAGACCACGAATAGAACACTTGCTGATAGAATGAGAGCGGGGCAGGAAGGCAGCGAGTGGCCTTGCTCAGACTCAGCCGGGACACGTGCATCGGGCAACTCACGCTTTTCACCATCGGCCACACGTGCCCACGTGTGACCGTGAAGGTGCTGTGGGGATGGATTTGAGGGAAAAAAAGTTTAGCAAGGAGGTAAATTGCAAACATGGGAGCTGCAAGTAAGGGCGATCATCTGTATCTTTATTTTGACCAGGTCAGCTAATTGCATTTCTCTTCTTTCTCTCCTTTCTTTCTTCCTTTTTTCTTTTTTTTAACAGGTAATTCAAGGCATAGATATGCACTCATAGCTGTACCATTCGTAGTAGCAGCCGTTGCAGGAGGTATGTATACTCCTCTTAAAAATATAAGTTTCCAAACGTGAGTTGGTTTTTCAAAGGCTGGAAAATGAATTTGGAGATAAAAACACAGTTTGAATTCGTAGGCATTTCGAAAGAAGCAGAAACTTTTGTGTTTTACTTGTCTGGTTGCCGAGTGGGCCAGGTCCCTCCGAAGATTCTGCATGATTCTAAGGTGGGATGAGTCCTCGGGGCACAGCCAGATATTCCTGGGATCTAGTCTACAGCCTCCTTCTGTCCGGGGCCCGCTTCAACATAGAGTTATACTTCCGGTCTCCAAGCCAGATTTTGCAAAAGACCCCTTACTCTTGGCTGCTGTGGTCACAGTGCCCATGTCTTACAGCCTAGGGCAGTGATGGCGAACCTTTTGAGCTCAGTGTGTCAGCATTTTGAAAAACCCTAACTTAACTCTGGTGCCGTGTCACATATAGAAATTTTTTGATATTTGCAACCATAGTCAAACAAAGACTTATATTTTTGATATTTATTTTATATATTTAAATGCCGTTTAACAAAGAAAAATCAACCAAAAAAATGAGTTCGCGTGTCACCTCTGACACGCGTGTCATAGGTTCGCCATCACTGGCCTAGGAGGAGGTCCCAGGTAGGAAGGAACTTTTGTGGAGTTGGGTGACATGGAGTCCTATATAATAAAAGTCTAATATGCTAAGTGTCTGGTCATCTGGTCAGCCATTCAACCAATCAAAGCATAATATGCTAATGATATGCTAAGGCTGTTCAACCACTCGTTATGACGTGCACTGACCATCAGGGGGCAGATGCTCTGACTGGTAGGTTAGCTTGCTGCTGGGGTCTGGCAGATCAGAACTGCGCGACATGGGCCTGACACTCCCTGGAGCCCTCCCGCGGCCCCTCCCCAGCTGGCCAACTTCCCGAGGCCCTCCCTGGCCCCAATCATGCACCGGTGGGGTCCCTCGGCCTGGCCTGAGCCCTCTCACAATCCGGGCTGAGGAACAACCCCCACCCCCCCCACAAAGTGCACGAATTTCGTGCATTGGGCCTCTAGTGGGTAATAAAGATCTGGTATTACCTGTGTTGCCTGAGACTTCCTTGGTCCCCCAGAGATCTCGGGCCAACCTAGAAAGCAACCTGTATGCCCTGGACAACAGGTGACCTAACACGCAGCCCTTCCTCACATCCCAAAGGACATTGACCAGATGTGAACAGATGTTGTTGAAGGCCCATCCGTTTCCAGACCCGCCTTCACCAAAAGGGTATTTGCAAGGCTCATTTGTGACTCCCACAGGGAGTGCTAACGAGGAAGCTAAAGGGCATTCAGTAGAGAGGAAATTACTCCAGTGTCAGTATTGGTAGCACCACGTAACCTAAAAACAATTGTTCTAAAAAAATAATCTGGCAGACGTCTCCGCTCTAAAGCCACGAGTTGGGAAATGGTGAGGTGCTGGGCATGGAGCTCTGGGAAAGGGAGTGAGTCGAAGGTGAACAGCTCCAGCCCCTCGTTGTAGTGGGCAGACACCTACACGTGCTCAGGCAGCCTGTGGGCCAGGCTGCTGGACGAGGAGTGTGGCTCGAGGCTGAGGCTGGCGCCTTGTGGGAAGGAAACGGATGTGTGCCCGTGGGAACAGTACCTTCACGCCCAAGCCTGCACTGCCTGACACAGTAACCACGAACCACGTGTGGCTGTCCAGCCCTTGAAATGTGGGAGTCCAGCACTGACTGGGCTGTGAGTTCAAACTACACACTAGGCTTAGAAGACAGTATTAGAGGAAGGAATGTGAAATGGGTCATTCATACGTTTCTATTGACTACATGTTGAAATGAGAATATTTTTATATGTTGGGCTAATAAGTAATTTTACCGATTTCTTCCTCCTATCTATTCCGTACGTGGCTACAGACATTTTTTAAATACTTGTGTGGCTCACATTATACTCCTATTGGGCAGCGCTAGTCCACACCATTCTAGCCTTGCCTTCATGGTCGGCCCTGTGCCCACTCTGCAGTAGACATACCATTTTGTCAGCAGTTTCTGCTTCTCTGTCACCTGATGACTCATTTTTGAGCAACTCTTTGGACCAACTCAGTCCCCAGTTTCATGAAGTGTTTGGGACAGTGAGGTATGCTGGCCGACAGGGCTCTGGTTTTGAGTTTTCCACATCCACGTCTCAACAGGGCAGTTAGTACCTTCAGGTTTCAGCTTCCGTTTCCAGTTTTTTAATTGAGATGAAAATGTCTTCATTCGTAGGTTTTCTGAAATGTGCCAGACGGACGGAAAGAACCACGTAAGTGCCCTGTAGACTGTGCTCTGGGGAAACTGTGTCGTGGCCTAGACAGGACAGCCTCGCTGTCGGGTGCCCGTCGCTCGGGGAGCCAGCTTCTGTGTATCTGCCAGTGCCCGGGACCCTACCCAGTGACAGCAGCAGAGAGAGATACGAACCACAGTTCGTTAAGCACCAGCCGCGTGCCCGGCACTGCCCTGGCCGCTCTCCGTGTCTCCTCCCATTGGACCCTCTCCACAAGCCTTGCACGGGGTCAGTACCACGTGCCAGAGACCCTGAAGGTGAGACTCAGGAGTCCAGTCCTGTGGCAGCAGGTGGGAGAGCCGAGACGCACATCGAGGTCCTCAGGCTCTCCGCCAGCACATGCCCCTGCTCCTCCCCCCCAGGAAGATCAGACCGAGGATTCGCCTCAGGAGCCAGGGTCAGGGCTGGGCCCGGTGTGCGCAAAGGATAGGACCCGGGCATGGTCACCAGGGGCGGTGTCCGTAGTAAATGCCATAAGCAGGCTCTGAAGGCCCCGCGTGACAGATCCCGCTGGTGGGCGGAGGCTGGGGCCCGGGAGCCGGGCTTTGCGGGGTGAGGGGAAGAGAGGGCAGGACAGGAAGTGGCAAGTGGACCGGCAGATTGGGCCAGACCAAGGCACTGAGAGTTGCCAAGAGGCCCGGGTCTTTTCCTCAGGGGAAGCACTGAGGATGCTTGAACAGAGCTTTGCGTTAGAAAGATCCTTCTACTAGCAAAGGGTTAATAGACAAGTGTTGGGAATGGGGCCGCAGGTGAGGGAATAAATGGAATAACCCGGCCAAGCAGAGAGGGCCCGGATCAGGGGTCACGCAGACGTGAATATGGAGGCAGAGATGTGGGGGGAGCGGAACTGGGTGTCTGATAAAGGGCACGGCCCGCTCCGCACCAAGCTGAGAGTCCGTATTTGCAGGGAGATCTTTGGAAGTCGGAGGCTAAATGACTGACATGAGCCGGGAGCTTCCTGAGCTGGAGAGCTCTGGGTGCACACGCTGCTCTGGGGTCGGGTCCAGGAAGCAAACCTGACATTTAGGGGGGACATCCCGGGGAGGAATTGGCTTGCTCCGGGCTGGGTATGGGAGAGAGCTTCCCTTTTCTCCGTATGCTTCTGTTCACTCTCACACTTCGCACTCCCTGTGTTTGCTGCTTATTTGATAATTATTTTTAAATGCAAAGAGCCCATCGTGGCTGGAGGGGGAGTTCCCGAGGCTCCGCTATTAAAGAGTCACGTGTATGACGGAGGGGTGGGAATTAGGGGGACAGCTGGGGGGCAGCAAATGCAGAATTGTCACATCTCCTGAGGACAGTGTCAGGAAGACCTAGAGGCAGCGAGAACCAGCTGAGCACAGCCATGTCGGTGTCAGGTGTCTGCGGGCGGGCGAACGGACAGTTTTAGGGAGACGCGGGGAGTGCTCTCAAGGCCTGGAAACATCCCAACGTCCGCCAAGCTCAAAAGGCAGCAGAACCCCTCCCCCTGAGAAAGGTTTGCTGGTGCATCTCCGCCTGCAGGCGCTGGAGGTGCTGTCTGGTTCCCCGGAGCGGATGGATCAGGCTGTGGGTGGCGGGGAGCTGGGGCCGAGGGCGCCATGCCCGGCAGGTGCTGCTCTCCGGAGTCCTGTGCTGGCCAGGACTCAGGGGAGAAGGGCGGCCTCTGTCCCTCACAAACCCACAGCGCCCACTTCCAGGTCCTGTGGGTTTGGGTAGGGGGAAAGCACCAGGTTATTTCCCAGCAGGAGTGTCAGGAAGGCTGGGGGTGGAGCACAGGTATTTTGGGAACTCTGTTCTGGGCTGGGCTGATCTGGCCTGGGCTGGGCTGATCCCGGCTGACACGCTCTGGTCTCTGAGATCCAGACTGTGGAGAAGACAGAAGCCAGGGAGTGGGCTGTTGGTGAGGGACTTGCTGAGGGAGGCGGTGCCCCCAGGTTTTAGCCGCTTCCTCTGTGTTAACCCCGGATTGTGTCAGCACCAGGGAGGTGACCAAGAGGGAAGTTGAGGTGGGAAGGAAGCTGTCACCAGCAGAGTCATGTGGCAGAGAAGGAAATAAATGCTGGGAGGGTGGCAGCTGACACGTGGGACATTTCCACTGCCCGCCGAGAGGGGTCGGTCCGAGGGGCCGGGGCCGAGCCTTCGGGCTGTGTATCGAAGGTAGCGCTTCTGCGGAACTCCCGCTGCCCGTCGGCCTGGAGACCAGTCCCTACGTCTCTGCCCCACCCCCCCCTCCTCCGCCAGCACCTGGCTGTTGTTGGATTTATTACCAAAGGGCACGAAGAGGAGGGTAATCATGACTTTCAGGCTGCCACGAATGTTGACTGCATTTTACCAGTTACTGACCTGAGACTTTTTTTTTCTTTCAGCGCCAGATGATGAAATCAAATCCTCAGTCACTAACTGGAAACAACTTAAAATACCTCTGCAGTATTAGTCTTCCAAAACCTTCACAGTTACCTTCACTGGTAACTTCATCAAAGTGTTTTGGTGTGGGTTTTGTTTTGTTTTAAGAAAAACA